AAACCAGCATTACATTGCATATGCTTTCATTTCAACATGGCACTCTTTAGATCTCAAGAGTTAGTTATTTGCCTGCTATGTTTGATATAGAAAAAAAACACTACCTTCCTCTTACAGTGTTGTTTTTGCTCTTTGGTTTCAGCCTATCAGAATAGACTAATTAAGATTATTGTCTTTCATTATATCTTCTTCTTTCTTTTCTTCTCTCTATCCAATAGTTTACCAAAGGTCAAGAGAAAAAAATTGTCTGCTGAGGTGCAAGTAATAGGGTGTAAGTTATATATAAAATCAATAATATCAACTCAGAGTCAGTTTATTGTTTACACACTACACCTGTACTTCTGAAAATTAATGAGTTCTAAATATGTGATAAATTATCCCTCTTTGATAAAATTGTGTGGATCTAAGTTCTAAGGAATGATGTGTTTACTGCTTAGATTTAATAAGAAATGTTGAATCAGCTCAATTTTTTATTCATCTTTTTAAAACATATGTTATGTGGCAGGGAACTTGGGAGAAATCCACTTTATTCTAAATAAATTCAGATATATAATTTAATTTGGATAGTAAGCTTATAATGGTTCAGTTTCATTTAATTTGGCTTTAGTTACAGTTCCCATTTCCATCTCTAGTTAATGTGAAATAGTTTTTTGTTTAAATACTAGATTAAAAATAAGCAGGGCTGGGGTTGTGGCTCAGTGGTAGAGCACTCACCTGGCATGCGCGAGGCCCTGGGTTCAATCCTCAGCACCACATAAAAATAAATAAATAAAATAAAGGTATTGTGTCTAACCCCCCCCAAAAAAAATCTTAAAAAAATACGCAGAGACAACAGTTATTGTAAAGATATAGAAACAACCTTGAGTTTCTTTAATTCTGTCTTCTATGTGGCCAGTTGGAGTTATTTTTTGTTTAGAATTAAAACATTGAAATGGAGTACAGGTGTGCAAATGCAAGGCATAATACTTTTCTTTAGTAAGTGAAATTTTAGTTTAATAAGGAAATATTTTATTGAATTTGAATAATGTGTTTAAAGTTGAAATTTATTGTTAAGCTGTAGAGTTATCATTCACTGCAACAAACTAATATGTAGTTATATATCTCCCCATTTTATAAAAATGAATTAGACATATTAATCAGTATTTTACTTTATTTTTTTGGACTGTGATATTTATTATTCATTTATTTGTTCATTTATTCATATATACACATACATAAATACATATATTTATGGAAGGAGGAAGGAGAGAGGGAAAAAGATGTTAGGAAATATCTCAATTATGCATGAAATATGTATTTCAATAAAATAATTATGCTTCTTTTTTCCTGTTATTTTATTAATTTCACTTCATAATTGCTACAGAAAAGAACTTTGTGACTGAAGGWATGTTAAAATGATTTGCAGTTTCCCACCATTAGTGTCAAATATATTAGGAATACCATTTTGTTTCCCCAACTCTTCCTTCCCACTTATTTATCCAAACATATATTTTATATCTGATGTGTTCTAGGCAAAACAAGGTTAAGCTTCAAATAAAATATAGCCATTAACTCTAGATTGTTCATCATGAACAGAATGGTTTTCAGATGTACTAAAATGAATGTYACATTAATTTGTAAGGAAAATAAAACTACCAATAAGTAATAAATGGATCACTGCAATATAAGGAATTTATGGTTGAAGCTATTTAGCAAATGCAGAAACCTTAAGAATGTATTGTAAGTTGACTGTGATCACCCCCTTCACTTACCAGGCTTATATATCTAAGGTAACAAGTGTGCTGGTTTTCACCGAACAGTTCAAATTTCGTTGGGATAATCCTAATTTATGCCTGGAAATTCTGCTATAGCTAGCAATAGTGCTTATTTTCAAATAAAATTTCAAGTTTGGGTAGTAAAATAATAAATGGCCTCCTGATTCCAACACCTAATATTTGTGAGGTTAAGACAAGAATAAATATCAAGGCCCTRTATGTTCTGGATCCAAATAGTTAGTGGTTATAAATAAAGTTGTCAACTATTAAATAAATTATATCATTTTAAGTAGATAAATGTATTCATAACAAAATAATTGTCTCTATATTTTAAAAACTGGAATTGACAGAAAAATGTTAACAATTTTGATTAAATTATTATAGTATACTTCTATGTGTTCTGTTGATGGTCCAGATATAATGTTTGCATAAGCAGTACAATAAAAATACATATAATTCACAGATTATTTTATGTTTACTCCACAAAATTTGTTTTCTTCTTTTAGAAAAGTTATATTTTTGTAATTAGCTTACATAATTCATGTTGTATTTGCCTTACTTCAAAATTTAACAGTTTTAAAGTTACCATTTTTGTAGTTTTTATTAGCTTTGTGTTGTAAATCATCACAAATGGCACTTTTTAAAAATTCTAATGATGATATTTAAGTGTGGAAATAATTCCTGATTTTTGCCATATATATTCAAACATTGTAGTGGGATAAATTATTGTTATTGTAAAAATGTTGCAGAATATTTTAAGTTTAGTTTATAAGTTATACAGAATATATGTATGATGATGTGAGGGAAAAAAAGAAGTGTGTCACATTAGATTGGGTAGAGAGAAGTGATGGGAGGGGAGGGGAGGGGAGGAGAAGAGGGTACAGGAAGGGCAGCAGAATAAAATAGACACGAGTATTGCTGTATGTATATACATGACTGTACGACCAATGTGATTATGCAACCTGTACACTCAGAAAAATGAGAAATTATACTCCATTTGATTCAAATGTATGATATGTCAAGATCATTGTACTGTCATATGTAACTAATAAATAAATAAGTAAAAACTTGTAATGGTTCAAACAGAATTGTAAAAATAAGCATCACTTTTCATGTATGTTATATTTTAAAGTATATTTTAAAAAGAACTTTGAGTCAGATGAATTTTTATGATTTGTTTAATATTCCTCAGCTTCCAATTGTAGCTGCCGTGAATCTGGACTTCTAGGACAATAAGTTAGAACCTTAAGAGAAGCAAGAACTATCACTCAGCATTACTATGAATTGTCATTCTGCTGTGCCAGAATATTTCATATTAATGTCTTCAGCAAGAGAAGGCTCATTTGTTGATTATCTCCTATGTGTCCCAATTTCTTCTGCCTGCACTTCAGATCCCCTTGCACATCAGGCAATCTCTGCTTCTGGAATTCATTGCAACCTTTGTGATCTACCTGCTTCTCCCTCCTTATCTCCAGTGCTCTTCCACTGGCCTTCTGACATGTCCAACACTCCATGATGATTCAGGACTTCAAAGGTGCATGCAAGGCATAATACTTTTCTTTAGTAAGTGAAAATTTTAGTTTAAAATTTTCTATTTTATTATTTTATTTTCTATTTTCTCTAGAAGGCAATTCTCTTGATTTTAAGTGACTTTGTCATTCTTTTTAAAAAATTTATTTATTTATTTTAATTAGTTATATCTGACAGCAGAATGCACTTTTATTCATTGTACACAATGAAGCACAATTTTCATTTCTCTGATTGTACATTATGTAGCTTCACACCATATATGCAGTCATACATATACCTAGGGTAATAATGTCTATCTCATTCCACCATCTTTCCTGCCCCCATGCACTMTCCTCTCCCCACCCTCCCCTTTGCCCAAACAAAGTTTCTCCATTTTTCCCATGCTCGCCTCCCCCCATTATGGATCAGCATCCACTTATCAGAGAGAACATTTGGCCTTCGGTGTTTTGGAATTGGCTTACTTTGCTTAGCATGATATTCTCCAACTCTGTCCATTTACCTGCAAATGCCATAATTTTATTCTCTTTTAATGCTAGTATTTCATTGTGTATATATGTCACAGTTTCTTTATCCATTCATCCATTGAAGGGCATATAGATTGCTTCCACAGTTTAGCTATTGTGAATTGAATTCCTATAAACATTGATGTGGATGTGTTACTATAGTATGCTGATTTTAAATCCATTGGATATAGACGGAGGAGTGGGATAGTTGGTTCAAATGCTGGTTCCATTCCAACTTTTCTAAGAAATCTCCATACTGCTTTCCAGAGTGGTTGCACCAATTTGTAGTCTTACCAGCAATGTATGAGTGTGCTTTTTTCCTGTCACATCCTCACCAACATTTATTGTTGTTTGTATTCTTGATAGCTGYCATTCTGACTGGAGTGTGATGAAATCTTAGAGTAGTTTTGAATTGCATTTCTCTAATTACTAGAAATGTTGAACATTTTTTCATATATTTGTTGATTATATGTATGTCTTCTTCTGAGAGGTGTCTGTTCAGCTCCTTAGCCCACTTATCAATAGGGTTGTTTGTATTTCTGGTGTTAAATTTTTTGAGTTCTTCTATATCCTGGAGATTAATGCTCTATCTGACATGTGTGTGGCAAAAATTTGCTTCCCAAATGTAGGCTCTCTGTTCACCTCATTGATTGTTTCTTTTGCTGAGGAAAAAGCTTTTTAGTTTGAGTCCATCCCATTTATTAATTCTTGATTTTATTTCTTGCACTTTAGGAGTCTTATAAGGAAGTCAGGGTCTAATCCAAGCTGACGAAGATTTGGGCCTACTTTCCCTCTATTAGGTACAGGGTCTCTGTTCTAATTCCTAGGTTCTTGATCTACTTTGAGTTGACTTTTGTACATGGTGAGAGGGGATTATTTTCATTTTGCTGCATGTGTATTTCCAGTTCTCCCAGCACCATTTGTTGAAGAGGCTATCTTTTCTCCAGTGTATGTTTTTGTCACCTTTGTCTACTATGAGATAACTGTATTTATGTGGGTTTATCTCTGTGTCTTCTATTCTGTACCATTGGTCTACGTATCTATTTTGGTGCCAATACCATGCCATTTTTGTTACTGTAGCTTTGTAGTATAGTTTAAGGCCTGGTATTGTGATTCCTCCTGCTTCATTCTTCTTGCTAAGGATTGCATTGGCTATTCTGGGTCTTTTACTTTTCCAAATGAATTTCATGATTCCTTTTTCTATTTCTATAAAAAATATATAGAATGCTTCATGAATTTGCATGTCATCCTTGCAAAAGGGGCCATGCTAATCTTCTCTGTATTGTTCTAATTTTACTATATGTGCTGCCAAAGCAAGCACAACTTCCACCTTCTTATCCACTAGCTCTCAACTCAAATGCTACCTTCTCATAGAAATCTTTTTGCCCTCCTCTTGTTTCTTTTTTTGGATGTCACATCTTACTATCTTTTTTTAGGTATATTATGATTTGAATGTTCATGTCCCCTCAAAATTCTTATGCCGACTCCTAATTACCAAGGCGATGATATTAGAAGGAGGGATTTGGGGAAGGCAATTAGGTCCTGAGGGTACTGAAATAGGATTAGTGCCCTTATAAAAGAGGCCCCCAAGAGATGTTTTGCCCCTTTCTCCATATGCAGACACAGGAACCCTAAGAAATGAGTCCTCATGAGACAATACGGCACCTTCATGTGGCTCTCCTTCTGTGAGAAAAACTTTATTTTGTTTATAAGTTACCCATTTCTGAGGTATTTTCTCTGGAATCCAAATGGGTTAAGACAGTTCCTTACATCTTTTATTTATCCCCATGAATATATAGTATTAATTTATTATCATTATTTGTGTGATTCCTATTTACTCATAAGAATGTGAGATTTGATTGTACTTTGGCATTTTTCTTGAGTGTAGAACAAGTTCTGGGACTTACTGGGGTGCTCAATAAGCAATTGCTATGGAATAGCACCCGATTGTCCCAATTTTCTTTATTTTCTATGTTGAATTATTTAATGAAGATGAAGAAAAACAAATGTCCCTTATGTTTATTGGTTGTTATATTATTTAGAACTCCACTTTTGTTAGAAAATGTAATTATAACAAAAATTTACAAAAAAAGAGAATTCTAGGGAATAAATAAATCCACTATTTCACCCTTTGTATATATTATACCTCCAACTTCCTGAAAAGTCTCAACCAAGTCCCAACTATATGACTTAAATATATGAAAAAAACCTGTTATGTAATTTATAGACTTAAATAAGTTTTGTTATAGCTGAGTCTGACCAAATAGTTGGAGATTTATCTACATTGTCTAAAACTAAGACAGATTTACTCCAACACTGTATCCCTCACTAGAAATGAATCACAAAGACGGAGGCTCTAGACTCTAGAAATAAGTACCTTTGAGACTTTTCATAAGGCAGGTTTCATTTATCTGTAACTTCAGCAACCAGGGACTCTGGAGACAGACATCTTGGGTCTAAGTAGCATGTGTGCCACTTGGCTTAAAAATTTCCAAGTTACTTAGACACTTATTAGGAACAAAAAAAAGTTGTGTATGAGTAGTAAATGAATTAATATATGTGAAGTTCTTAGGTCASTGTGTAAATCCTTACAATTATTTTTATTACATAAATAAGTAGYCAAACATTATTGTATATATCCTTTATATTTCTTTGATTTTTTAATTTCATTTTAACTCTGTGAAATATGACTAAGGTGGGTATAATTATCCTCATTTTCTAAAATGGAGCACKGTATCTTGGACAAGCAGTTTTCTTCAGGTCAGGACAATGGAGTTATAAAAATTATTTTTGCTCTTTCACATAGTTGGTACAAATGATGCATTTAGAAGATTTGCTTTAATATTAAAAACCATTTTATTTAGTTCCCCTTTTATAGAGTCATTTATGTAATGTGCAATTGCCACTGGTGTTCTTGTCGCAATTTTGTGACTCATGAAGGATGTGGACAAGGGCTTTGATAAAAATGAGTTGTTTTGTAACATGGCAATTATTCATATTATAGTATTCTTAAGAGAATATCAACAATGAATGCAAAAGGACAGGGGCAAGGGCAAGAGAACATTATGTTTTCATGTTTTCCCAGGTATACAATGACTAACCTTTTTTTTTCTGAATAAGTACTGTCTTCTTTCCTCTTATTCCCCCATCCCTCTCTATCCTCCAACTTCATAAGCATACATTGCTTAATTGTTGCAATTTTTGATAGAATCCAATCCATAATTAGCCCATACTTTCCTTATCCTTCCTGAGAATAGTACAACACCAATCCAAACCCTGGAAGAGACACTGACACCCTATGAGCCATTTCTTTTGTGAGTTGTTTCATGCTGCAGTAAATCAATAGCTATTTTTTAAAAGTGTGTTGCTTATGATCTATATTCAGTGGGCTTTCAATTGTCCCTTTACTAAAAAAATACAGAAAAATATAAGAGGATTGTACACTGTAGGCACATTCACTTGTCATCCCTCAGGGTGTTTATGCTACTATACTATGTTTTGTAAATTGACCATAACTGATCACTAAATGGCTTTGAAGAAAGAAAGGTAGGAAAGACAGTATTTCCCCTGTATTTATGTGATTTTAATAGACCAGCAATTTATCATAGAAAGTACACTCTGTTAAATGCCTTAAAGATATAGATTGATAATTTTACTSTGATCACTCTGTTCAAAAGTCTTTAAGTCATACAAGAGATTAGGAAAAGTAGGAAAAAAATTCTAAAGACTTATTTTTTAAATCACTGCTAAATCAGTAATCCATATATAAATGCTGATATTGTAAAATCATTGCACACTAGATTATTTTTAGTGAGAGTATATGACATTATTTAAGAATGCATAAATTCATGTTTTATAAAGTTAGCTTGTTTTAGAACTAGTCTGTCACATTAGGGAGAATGCTGCAAATATCACCTCTCCTCTTTGTGTTTCTGCTTGACAGTAGTGATGTACTATTGGCAAGCAAAACTTTGGTACATTAAAAAATATAAAAATAGCCATTGCTACATGGTTTAATTAATATATATCTGAGTAAAAGTATCATTGAATGGTTCTCTTTCTCTTTTTTCTATATTTGCTTTGTATTTCTGGTTTGTTTTTTCTTATATGATTTTAGAAGTTTTCTCAAAATGTTGATGCTTTCAGAATAATCCGGGAGGTTAGCTTTTCTACCTTTTTGTTGCTTAATAAAAATCATATTTGGTCTTTAAAAATTCAAGTATAAAGAAATGGTTTTGCCTCTAATAGTTTGAGAAAGTAAAACTGAAGAAAAATTCTTTTTTTCAATATAATTTCCCCAATCTAACATTTTTCTTAACATTTCTTTCTGTATTTGGTGATTGGAGAAATGAGGAACAGTGGTGGTATTTGGGTGGTAAGATGTACTACATTGTGAAATGAATTTCCAAAACATGCAAATACCTCCCTCCTCTAGATGAACATCACAGGTGGTAAAACATAATTCTTTTATGAGTAATGATCAGTTTATTACTCTAGGTGGAGGCAGAACTTGTTTAAGGTTTACTGATTTTAATCTGCTTCTGTATTTCCAGATGTTAAATGGGGTTGCACAATAGACTATTTTTCACTGAGAAAAATATCCACTAGCAATAGAACAAGGACCCATTCTTTTTAAATGTTGGCACTAAAGCTGAGCCTGAAAGATCCTCCTCACTTTAATTTAAGTCAGAAGCTGAGTGAGCAACCTTTTTGAACTCTAGTGATTGATCATCAGGCTAGTTTCTAGATCCAGGACCAGATTACTCAAAAGTGGCCACTAAGGGCTGGGGACAGGGGAGCTAGTGAGTAGCCTAGCAGGCCTAGCATAAATAGTAGAAAGCCAGTTTTACTAATATCCTTGAACTCWTCTTAGGGTTTAAATACTGTCATTTGGTAACATTGAAAAATTAAAAAAAACACATAATTTTTTCTGATTATAATGAAATTCATGAAAAATGAGATAGCATCGTGTCTTTATTTGAAGTGCAAAGCCAAAAGACAGAGGTATGTGATTCTATTTAAAGGATAATAATAAAGCTGAGATAGGSCAAAGAGTTTAAACAAAAACATAAGAACAGTTGTGTGAGATCATTATGTAAGATGTTTTTAAATTTTAGATTTTAATTTTAGGGTTTTTTMCCCCTATATAAATTCATTATCTTTCTCTATCTGCAAAAGACTTGGTTGTGATGTGCTTACAAATTGAATTAATACTCAAGAATTTATTCAACACACATATGTGTACCATGTGCTAGGGACTCTGAGATATGGGAGAGAGAGCAGTACTCTGCAGAAATCAAATATCTGTTCCTGCCTTGTGACAAAGCCACATTCTATAAAGGCAGAATTCTATTTAATGTCCTGGAGAGCTTCTTAATTAAAGTGTGGCTGACTACTTCAAATCTCAGCTTAAATATCATCTCCTCAGAGAAGTTTTCCCTGACGACCCCACCTAAATTAGGATTCCACTGTTATTTTGTTATCTCAGTGTTCTGTTTCCTTCATGGATATTATGAACATTTTCAAGTATTGTTTATTTATATTCTGTAAGCTTTCTGAGATCAGAGATGCAGTCTTTGTTTTTCACCATTATAACTCTTGCATTGAGTAATATGCCAGCCCCAAACACATTTATTCTTCACCTACAGTTTCAACAAGATTAGCCTTGATCATGGTAATGTATTTCAACTTGATAATACAGTGATGGATTTTTTAAATTAACTCTATTTTGTTTGTGTTGAGTCACAACCAGAATAGGAAGCAAGGAAGAAAAACATTTATGTGTTTCTCTATACTGAATTTCTTTTTTTTAAATAACAAAATTAAACCTTATTCGATAGAAAAGAAACACTCACTGCAGAAAATATTAAACTACAGAAAAAATGTMAACTCTTGGTTTTGAAATATTTATAACTACACAGAAATTGCAAAAASAGTACATGGTGGTCTCTTATACCTTCTTCCCAACTTTCTCCAGTGTTTACATTTTATATAATCATAGCACACAGTATACTGGAATTGATATTGRTACAATGAATGTGGATAATTTTGTGTCATGTTGTTACATGTAGATYTCTGTGACTATGGCCACAATCAAGACATGGAGCTGTGCCATTGCCGCAAAGCATTACAGAACCATCACCTCATGCCATTCACGATGGTCATTCCCCTATCATCTCTAGTGCTGGCAATCTTGAATGTGCTCTTGATAGCTATAATCTCTTCCTTAATATTGAAATTGTTGTTTAAGTGGAATCACACAGTATTGGCTTTTTCATTGCTCATAATAACCTTATAATGCATCCAAATTGTTGCAGGCAT